CGAACCCGCGGGCTCAGGCAATCCACTCACCTCAGTCTCCCAAAGGCGCGGAATTACAGGTTGAGCCACCGAGCCCGGCTATAAAAACTTTTTTAATTAAAGAATCACATATGAAACAATCAGATACTATTTTTATAAGTTTTCATAAATTGAACAAATAAGGTAACCAGCACCCAGATCAAGAAAGGAAATGTCACCAGCTCCCCCAAGAGCCTCCCTCTGTCCCTCCAGTTCACTATGTCCCTTCTAAATTTAGGGGGTTGCCATTTTGCCTGTGTTTAAACCCATGTAAATGGATCACACAGTGAAACTCTTTTTTTTTTTTTTGAGTTGGAGTCTCACTCTATTGCCCAGACTGGAGTTTAGAGGCCGCTCCTGGCCACTGCAGCCTCGACCTGCTGGGCTCCGGCGATCCTTCCGCCTCAGCCTTCCTAGTAGCTGGAAATACAGGCACGCGCTACCAAGCCTGGCTAATTTTGGATTTATTGTAGAGACATGGTCTCGGCCGAGTTGCCCGGGTGGGTCTTGATCCCGCAGGCTCAGGAAATCCACTCACCTCGGCCTCCCAAAGTACTGGGATTACAGGCTGAGCCACCAAGCCCGGCTCACAGTGAAACTCTTTGTGGTTGGCTGCTTTTGGTCTACTTTATCCTTCTGAGATTTATGCCTTTCTCTTCTTGATTTCTAGGATGTTCTTTATCTCTTCTACAAGCTGATCATTTTATTTTTATTTTATTTTATTTTTTGAGTTGGAATCTCACTCAGTCGCCCAGACTGGAGTGCAGTGGCCACTCCCGGCCACCGCAGCCTCGACATGCTGGGCTCCGGCGATCCTTCCGCCTCAGCCTTCCGAGTAGCCGGAATTACAGGCATGCACTACCATGCCTGGCTGATTTTTTGATTTATTGTAGAGATGAGGTCTCGCTGCCCAGGCGGGTCTCGAACCCGCGGGCTCAGGCAATCCACTCACCTCAGCCTCCCAACGGCGTGGGATTACAGGCTGAGCCACCGAGCCTGTCTTGATCATTTGATATATTAATATTTTAGAAGAAAATACAAGAGAGTATAACACCACCTACTATTTTTAAACAAACACACTTTTTTTTTTTTTTTTTGAGTTGGAGTCTCACTCTGTCGCCCAGACTGGAGTGCAGCGGCTGCTCCCGGCCACCACAGCCTCGACCTGCTGGGCTCTGGCTATCCTTCCGACTCAGTCTTCCAAGTAGCCGGATTTACAGGCATGCGCTACCACGCTTTGCTGATTTTTTTTTATTGTAGAGATGAGGTCTCACTGCCCAGGCGGGTCTCGAACCCGCGGGCTCAGGCAATCCACTCACCTCAACCTCTCAGAGGTGTGGGATTACAGGCTGAGCCACCGAGCCCGGCAAGGGGGTTATATTTCAAAAGGTGACAAAACACTCCCACTCCCACTCCCAATTAGCCAAATTAGCCAAATTAGTGAGTGTTAGTACATAATTCAGATTAGACTCAGACTGCGTCATGAACATTTACCATAATACTGTAAGAAAGGAATTGGTAGTAGTGGGATACTGCCAGGGTAGGGGGTGCAGGGGACCCAACAGGCATGCTCCGGGCCACCGTAGCCTCCACTTGCTGGGCTCCGGCCATCCTTTCGCTTCAGCCTTCCAAGTAGCTGGAACTACAGGCGCGCCTACCACACCAGGCTCATATTTTTGAGTTTGTAGAGATGAGGTCTCGCCAAGTTGCCCAGGCGGGTCTTGAACCCGAGGGCTCAGGCAATTCACTCACCTCAGCCTTCCAAAGGGGCAGGATTACAGGCTGAGCCACCGACCCCAGCTAATTTATTGATTTATTGTAGAGATGAGGTCTCGCCACATTGCCCAGGCTGGTCTCGAACCCACGGGCTCAGGCATCCCCTCACCCCAGGCATCCCCTCACCTCGGCCTCCCAAAATACTGGGATTATAGGCGTGAGCCACTGCGCCCGGCCACATGTTCTCACTTACAAGCAGACCGTGAACAACTATCACAACACTAGAAGAAAGGAATTGGACGAGTTCGGTGGCCCAGCCTGTAATCCCAGCACTTTGGGAGGCCAAGGCGAATGGATTGCCTGAGAACGCATGTTGACACCAGCCCGGGCACTTTGGCGAGACCCTCTACGATAAAATGAAAAAATTAGCCGGGCGTGGTGGTGTACCCCTGTAGTTCTGGCTAGTTGGAAGACTGAGGTGGAAGGATCGCCAGAGCCCAGCAGGTCATTGTTGGGGTGGCGGTGAGTGTGTCACTGCACTCCAGCCTGGGCAACAGAGTGAGACTCCAACTCAAATTAAAAAAAAAAAAAAAAAAAAAAAGGATTGGCAGTAGTGGGAAACTGCGCGGAGGGTAGGGCACACCTCATCAACAAGGGCACCTGCTTAATAAACATTTGTGTACCTAACCCCGAATTGTGCCCTACATATTTAAAGTACAAAATTACCCAAAAAAAGTGGGAACCCAAGGAAGGCCCAAACTCTTTACCTTTACCAGTACGATGATCACTTGTATACATAATCCCGAACTGGAAAAAAAAAAAAAAAAAAGAGCAGCCCTGGGCTTAAACTCAGGCCTAGGCTTGGGCCTCAAACCACGCCCCCTTCTCTACCTAGCCCCGCCCCCGACCGGGTTCTCCTCGAGCCCCGCCCCTCAGCGGCCTAGTCACTTTCCGCTCTCGCGATAGTACGACCCGGAAGTCTCACTGCGTCCACGTGGGGGCTGTCCTCCGGCTGGCGGTGCTAGTCCCGCCCGCGGGAGCCGAGCGGGCTCCGGGAGCCATGGGGAAGCTGCGCAGGCGATACAACGTCAAGGGGCGCCTGCAGGCGGGCCCCGGCCCCTCCAAGGGCCCCCCTGAGCCGCCCCCCGTGCGGCTGGAGCTGGAGGGTAAGGCCTCCGGGACTGGGGTTAGATTTCCGGGCAGGGGTCGCCCGGGGCCTCGCCGCCAGGGGTGGCCCGTGGGGGCCGAGGTCCCTTCGACCTGTGCCCTGCCTTCGCAAGTCTGAGGCGGGCGCCCGGGGAGGGACCCTTATTCCGGATGATCCAAAGGAGGGGGGCTTAGCAGTGACTACGGGACAGCACGCAGGTCCCCCTCGCCCTCGTTTGGTAGCAGCATGAAGAATTTGGAGGAAAAAAGTGAGGTCGTTTTATCCATTCTCGTGACTTCGATGGCAATCTCTTCATCTCCAGTGACCCTTAAGTTTGTGTTTTGAGCCCAGTCCTCTCTGCTCGGTTGAACGCTGGCTGACATTTCTCTCAGACTCCTTTTTGGTAGCATCTCCTATGTGCCAGTCACTATTCTAGGTACTGGAGATGAACAGAAAAGGAGATTTTAAAAATCCTCCAGCCAGGCTCGGTGGATCAGCTTGTAATCCCGCACTTTGGGAGGCCGAGGTGAGTGGATTGCCTGAGCCCACGGATTCGAGACCGGCCTGGGCAACTTGGCGAGACCTCATCTCTACAACAAATCAAAAAATTAGCCAGGCGTGGTGGCGCGCACCTGTACTTCCAGCTCCTTGGAAGGCTGAGGTGGAAGGATCGCCGGAGCCCAGCAGGTCGAGGCTCCAGGCCACTGGAGCATGCCCCTGCCCTCCAGTCTGGGCGACAGAGTGAGACTCCAACTCAAA